ACTGGAAAAAGGTGAGTTTTTATTCATTTTAAGAGGGCTGAGGGGGGTTAAACACTATAGGGTCAGGAATACATGTTTGTGTTTCTGACCCTATAGTGTTCTTTTAAGCTTCAGACATAAATAGTGAAGTGAAAGGGCAAAGTGATTGGGACTGGATTGAAAACTTTGGGGTTAAATTATTTGTTAATGGATTAACCCCAAAAGATAAGCCGGTGCCCAGGACCTCCTTTCACCATAACAATTTAATTTCAATTTAGTTTTTATGTCACCAAGAGTGTCAATTTAGCTATAATTGGTTTTAATAATGTGACTAACATGATAATTTGTCATTGATGTGTGTGCTTTTCTATTTGTTTGTTAATGGGGTATTTCCAAACATATACATCTTCCAGTTAAAATACAAATGATTACACAAAGCACCATCACAACTTTGCATAATTGCAAATATGATGGTGCATAGAGCAGCCTGAGTGCCCCGCTCCACAGCTCTGTTGATATCTGCACATACCTGTGGAAGACACAGGAAGGCTTACTGAACATATTTTGTGGCTTAGAGTGGTTGGACTCCATTTTTCATTTAACATTTCATTATGTGTATTTTGACTGTTAGCTGGCCTCATTTTGACCTCAGGTATTACAATAATACAAGGAGAAAGCCAGTAAATACATTAATATTGCAACCAGGATCTTACCCATTCATAAGTAAGAATAAATACTCTTATTGACATAACATTACAACATACACATATTGAGGCGTAATTTAAAGGGACACCATGACTTCTCAAATTTTGGATATTGTGGAATTAACCCCTTAAGGACTGGACTGTTTTTGCGATGTTGTACATTTGCGACCAGGCCTCTTTTTACACTTTTGTGGTGTTTGTGTTAAGCTGTAATTTTCTGCTCTATTATTTACTGTTCCTATACAAATTATATATATATTTTTCAGGACAAAAAAGGCTTTCTTTACATACCATTTTTTATATAATCTATGTAATTTAATTTAAAAAAAATAAAAAAAATGATGAAAAATTGAAAATAATACATATTTTTTGACTTTTACTTTAAAAATCTTTTACTCATCTACCAAAGCGAATAAAAAAACCTGCTAAATAGATTCAAAATGTTGTCCTTAGTTTTAAAATACCCAGTATTTACGTGCTTTTTTGCTTTTTTTTGCAAGTTATAGGGCTATAGGTACAAGTAGGATATTGCGGTTTCAAAACATAAATTTTTTCAAATTTATCAATAGTGACATTGTAACACTATTATCTGTCATAAATCTCTGAATAACACCCCACATGTACATATTTTTTTTAAAGTAGACAACTCAGGGTATTCAATATGGGGAATGTCCAGTTTTGTTTTAGAAGCCACCTAGTCGCAAACACTGGCCAAAGTTAGCGTTCATATTTGTTTGTGTGTGAAAAAAGTAAAAAACTAAATTGAATGCTAATTTTGGCCAGTGTTTGTGACTAAGTGGCTACTAGAAAAGACTGGACATACCCCATTTGCAATACCTTGGGTTGTCTTCTTTTGCAAATGGTATGCCATCATGGGGGTAATTCTCATTCCTGGGCTACCATACGCTCTCAAAGGCAACGTAACAGACCTGGCCATTTTCAATGTAAAAATATTTTACCCATATATTTGACCCTGTAACTTTCAAAAACGCTATAAAATCTGTACATGGGGGTACTGTTATACTCGGGAGACTTTGCTGAACACAAATATTAGTGTTTCAAAACAGGAAAACGTATCACAACAATTATATATTATATTATTAGTAAAAGTGCTGTTTGTGTGTAAAAAATTTGAAAAAAGTCACTTTCACTCACAATATCATCACTGTGATATGTTTTACTGTTTTGAATCACTAATATTTAAGTTCAGCGAAGTCTCCCGAGTAAAACGGTACCCCCCATGTACAGGTTTTAGGGTGTCATAGAAAGTTACAGGGTAAAATACAGTGCTAGGAAATTAAATTTTATGGACTTTCAGCCTGGCTTGGCAGGCAGGTCCCTCAAAAAATGACTTAATTATGTAAAAATATTACAGAAATACGGACGTAGAATTTAAATATATATAGATATTTATATATTTGAAGTCTATGTGTATATTTATATAATTATTATTATGTAATTTTGTATATGGACATATGTATATTTTGTATTATTTTTATTTATTTATATATACATAGATATATATACAATTTAATTCTAAGTGTATTTTGATATAAATATATCTATTTTAATATCAAAATACAGTTAGAATAAAATTTCATAAAGATATCATTTTTTTAAAATTTGTATTATTATTTTAAATTTTTTTTATTTTATCTACTTATTATTTGTATTTTATAACAATATATGTATACAATATATATAGTTATTATATTATATATACATGTGTAATTTAATTATAAGTGTATTTTTATATTATTATATGTACATATTAATATAAAAATACACTTAGTATGACATTATATATATATGATATATAGACATATATTATATAAATATAATATGTCTATATATCATATATATATACACATATATAAAAAAAATTTTTATTAACTTTAACTTTAATTTTTTTTATGATTTTACACATGCAGGGAGACTGCCTGTCAGCACAGACAGTCCCCCTGCAGGCAGACACATGGACACCTATTGTGACCATGTGACTGCTCTGTTGAGCGATCACATGGCCACAGGGGTCCTAATACACCATGGGGAGACTGTCTGGGCTGCAGGCAGTCTCCCCACACCGGGAGTACTGCCGATCGCCGCCGGGGGAATGACGGCGATCGGGTAAGTACATAAGACCGTTAGGACGGTTCAGGACCTTCACCGGTCAGCAATGGAAAAATGCAGATGACGGTCCAGAACCGTCCTCGGTTGTTAAGGGGTTAAGAAATGAGTGCCTACATCTTCATTTGCTGTTAGTTATTTGAATAAGCACTAAACTCTGCAACCGTGAGTCAGTAGAGAGAGAGCATAGAGAGACGAGGAGAGACAGAAACAATTAACTGGATTCCGTTACCGGAGGGAATTTCAAATCTGGTTATCAAATAGCAATTTATGACCTGAAGTCTCTAGAACATGCCTATTCAAAAAACGTACCTCCAGTAACAAAATGGCTGTGCCGGGTTTGAACTGGATTTTTATGTCAACTGCTAAATCTGTATAAGGGATAAGCCAAATGGCAAATGATTTAGGTAAACTAGAAAAATGGTCAGAGCTGTGGCAACTGACATTTAATGTGGATAAGTGCAAGATAATGCATCTTGGAAGGAGAAACCCGAGGGCAGAGTATAGAATATTTGATACAGTCTTAACCTCAACATATGAGGAAAGGGATTTAGGGGTGATTATTTCTGATGACTTAAAGGTAGGCAGACAATGTAATAGAGCAGCAGGAAATGCTAGCCGAATGCTTGGTTGTATAGGGAGAGGTATTAGCAGTAGAAAGAGGGAAGTGCTCATGCCATTGTACAGAACACTGGTGAGACCTCACTTGGAGTATTGTACACAGTACTGGAGACCGTATCTTCAGAAGGATATTGATACCTTAGAGAGGGTTCAGAGAAGGGCTACTAAACTGGTTCATGGATTGCAGGATAAAACTTACCAGGAAAGGTTAAAAGAACTTAACATGTATAGCTTGGAGGAAAGACGAGACGGGGGGATATGATAGAAACATTTAAATACATAGAGGGAATCAACACAGTAAAGTAGGAGACTATATTTAAAAGAAGAAAAACTACCACAACAAGAGGACATAATCTTAAATTAGAGGGGCAAAGGTTTAAAAATAATATCAGGAAGTATTACTTTGCTGAGAGGGTAGTGGATGCATGGAATAGCCTTCCAGCTGAAGTGGTAGAGGTTAACACAGTGAAGGAGTTTAAGCATGCGTGGGATAGGCATAAGGCTAGTCTAACTATAAGATAAGGTCAGGGACTCATTAAAGTATTTCTGAAAATTGGGCAGACTAGATGGGCAGAATGGTTCTTATCTGCCGTCACATTCTATGTTTCTATGTTTCTATATTTAACACATTAGAAGAAACAAACTGCATTATTCTGAAAAAAATAATAACTCAGAAGTGTTGTTTTTCAGGCTCAGCTATTTGATCTAAAACTTGGAGTTTCCTTTGTCAATTCTCAATATTGTCTGGTTCAGAGATCTTTTCATGGACCCTGCTCAATGCTTCCAATGCATTACCTATTTTCTTAGACATTTGATTTATAGCAGGGTGACAGGTTGATGATCTGAGACAGAGAGCTTGCAATGTGTTGCTGTGGCACTCCCTGAGTCGTCCCTGATGGATGACGGAGAGCAGTAATTATCAGTCGCCAGCACTAAATCACTGAGCAGTCTCTGTACCCCCTGGCATAAACATGACTCTAAAGTGTTAATCATGAACCTCCAGGGGCACATTGTGTCCAGTAGACTCATATTTGATATTTCATGTAGTGTCTATTAAAGCATCCTCAGGAGATCTATTGCAGAAGTAAGTTTTTACATTTATAATTTTTACAATATTTAAATACCAGTGCATTATATAAACATATTTTTATTTGGTAAAGTATATGTTTGTGCAGGGCCAGATTTACATGTCAGGTGCTTATAGGCAGAACACTTTAAGGAAGTCCCGCTTCCATCTTTTCTAAAAAGAAAAATGCAGATAAAGTGAGTTTTAAAGGGAACCTATCAGGTTCTCATCACAAAAATGTGTGTTACACTTCTAAAATACCCATCTCCGGTCTGTCAAGTCTTATCAGCACAAAACTACAAAGTGGATAATAGCGTCTGTCAATGTCAAGGCAGTGACACACCAGCTGAAAATTACACCAAGGAATTTGGAATGGGTATTGAGACTGTAACGTACAAGTGCTGCCTGGAAGTATCGGGAAATGAGACCATGCATGTACAGAGTATTGTGGAAAGTGTTAATGCTAAATAAAGAGATATAAAATAAAATGACTATTCAAACTGGTGATCAGATGCTAAGGACGAGCTGGTCCTCTCATGAACTATCACAATGTGAAATTTTCTGTCAATGAACTTGTCTGTGTGTCTGTGAGATCTTCAGTGAACTTGTGTGAGCTAAATGTTGAATGCATGTGAGAATGCTTACTATAATAATTACATTATTATTAGAATCAACATTTTGTAGGGGAAAAAATAGATTTATCACTCACTCACTAAACACCAACTTCAAAGCTCACAACATGTATTAGCTTTAAAAATACCAAGAAAACAACAGCTACAACAAAAACACCTATGCATAAGAATGCCACAATGGGGTGTGTTTGTGTTAATGTGTGTGCGGACAAAGACACACTCATTGGCTGAGCACATTCTCAGTCCATCCATGAGTTAGACCTGCATGGGTTTAGATGGACACTATAGTCACCAAAACAACTTAAGCTTAATGAAGCTGTTTTTGTGATTAGATCATGCCCCTGAAGTTTCACTGGTCAATTTGCTGCCATTTTGGGAGTTAAATCACTTGTATTTCTGTTTGTGCAGCTCTGGTCCCCTCAGAGGTAACTTATTTAAAAAGTTTTTATCACCTGCTCTTTAATTAAACTTTACACCGGAGGCTCCTGTAGGGCCTAGCAACCTATTAATAGAGCAGGAGATAAAACAATTCTAAATTAAACAGAATTTGTAATAATGAAGTGTAAACATTACATTACTCTTTAAAGAAAGTGTTTAGGAAGGCTGTGTAAGTCACATGTACAAAAGGTAAAGAAGTGTTATGTTGTAATTTTAATAATTATCAAATCAATCCAAATTAATAAAGCCCATATCCCGCCCTACAAAACACAAACCACAACAATATGTGCAGTATGTGTGTGTGAGGGCGCTGTGTGTGAGGGCGCTGTGTGTGAGGGTGCTGTGCGAGGGTGATGTGTGTGTTAGGGTGCTGTGTGAGGGTTCTGTGTGTGTGAGGGTTCTGTGTGAGGGTTCTGTGTGAGGGTTCTGTGTGTGTGAGGGTGATGTGGGAGTGAGGGTGCTGTGTGAGTGTTAGGGTGCTGTGTGAGTGTTAGAGTGCTGTGTGTGTGTGTTAGGGTGCAGTGTGAGTGTTAGGGTGTTGTGTGTGTTAGGGTGCTGTGTGAGTAAGGGTGCTGTGTGTGTGTTACGGTGCTGTGTGTGAGTTAGGGTGCTGTGTGTGTGTTATGGTGCTGTGTGTGAGTTACGGTGCTGTGTGAGTTAGGGTGCTCTGTGTGTGGGGGGGTGCAGTATTTGTGTGTGTGTTAGGGCGCTGTGTGCAGGGCCGGACTGGGGATTCCAAAGCAGCCCTGGAAAAAAAATCTATGCCAGCCCCATAAGTCATTGCGCCATATATTGTCGCATGTAATATGTAAGGCTATGTCTTGCCACCCTAGATGATTGATTTATATATTGCTTTTTCCAATATAAAATATTGGTCCTTTCAGAGTAAAATTTTTAATTATACAGTAAGCATACTCACATGCAGACACAGACAATCTCACTGACACAAGATGATTGATACACAGCCTCATAAACAAACAATCTCACTGATATACATAAGGTCATTGACATAAAAAACACAAGCTCACTCAGTAGCAGGCACGCACAAACATGCGCGCGCACATACACACACACGCACACACACACAGCTTAATGTAGTGGTTCTGGTGTCTATAGCCTGTCCCTGCAGACTTTTCAATGTAAACACTGACTTTTTAGAGAAAAGGCAGTGTTTACATTGCTTCCTAGTGACAGACACTCAGATGGTCACTAGAGGTGTTTCCTGTGTCAGTGCGGATTGGCTGAGATCATCAAGCTTGATGATCACAGCCATTGAGGCAGGGCCAGTCGAGGGGAGACCAGCACGACGTGGGGGGAAAAAGGTGAGTAAAAACACACATACCATGACAGACACACACCATGACACAGACAGACCGTGACACAGACACACACACCGTGACACAGACAGAAACACAGACACACCATGACACAGACAGACACACACCATGACAGACACACACACATAGCAAGACAGAAATACACCATAACACAGACAGACTGTGACACAAACACACACTGTGACACAGACACACATTACATGACACAGACGGACACACACACCATGACACACAGGCACCACGACACAGAGAGACCGTGACACAGACCCACACACACGGTGACACAGACAGACACACACACCATGACAAACACACACACACACCATGACACAGACAGACCATGACACAGACACACACACCATGATGGACAGAGACACACACACACACCATGACACAGACAGACACACACACACCATGACACAGGCAGACACACCATGACAGAGACACACACACACACACACACACAATGACACAGACAGACACACACACCATGACACAGACACACATACACTCACACTGACACACATAATTTCTACCTTTGTGCTGGCGGCCACATGGGGGAGCTGAGTCTTCTGGCGGCCACAGGGGGAGCTGGCTGTTCTGCCTCTGCTCCCCCGCTCCAGCGCGCCGCTTAATGAGACCGGGGCCGGAATATGACGTCATATTCCGGCCCCGATCTCATTAAGCGGCGTGCGAGGGCGGGGGAGCAGAGGCAGAACAGCCAGCTCCCCCTGCGGCCGCCAGAAGAGCTCTCTCTGCGGCCGCAGGGGAGCCAGCTGCCTGCCCGGCCCCAGGTGCCGACGGCCCACCAGGAAATTTCCCTGTATCCCGGTGGGCCAGTCCGGCCCTGGCTGTGTGTGTGGGCGCTGTGTGCTAGGGTGCTATGTGTTACGGTGCTGTGCGAGGGTGATGTGTGTGTTAGGGTGCTGTGCAAACGTTCTGTGTGTGTGAGGGTTCTGTGTGAGTGAGGGTGATGAGTGAGTGAGGGTGCTGTGTGAGTGTTAGGGTGCTGTTTGTGTGTTAGGGTGCTGTGTGAGTTAGGGTGCTGTGTGTGTGTTACGGTGCTGTGTGTGTGTTGTGGTGCTCTGTGTGAGTTAGGGTGCTGTCTGTGTGTTATGGTGCTGTGTGTGAGTTAGGGTGCTGTGTGAGTGTTAGGGTGCTGTGTGAGTATGCTAGGGTGCTGTGTGAGTGTTAGGGTGCTGTGTGAGTATGCTAGGGTGCTGGGTGAGGGTGATGTGTGTGTCTGCAAGGATTGTGTATTGGGGGGAGGCAGGTAAATGCCAATATTGATGCCTTCTTTTTTTTTAATTTTTATTATAAAAATAAATACATTATACCCGGATCTTGCGAGAGAAACCCGGCGGAGCTGTAAGTTAGAGCTCCACTGGGTCCTCCTCTCCAGGCTGGCTGTCCCCCTCCCTCTCTCCCCAGCCGACGGCCACGTTTGACAGTCTTCCCACCGGCCCTTCATGGAACACAGCGGGGCCGGCGCTCGGATAGTGCCGGCTCTGCATGGACCAGCTGGACCTCCCCGGCCTTGGCCCGTGGCCATCGCAGCCCACCGGGTATTTGCCCAGTTTGCCCGATGGCCAGTCCCGGCCTGCTTGATACTCACACTATACATGCTATACACACACTGCACCCCCTATACACACACACTATACAGTTGTGCTCAAAGATTTGCATACCCTGGCAGAAATTGTAAGATTTTGGCATTGGATTTGAAAATATGAGAGATCATGCATAAAAAAAAAAATTTAAAAAAATGTATTAAAGGATAGTGATCATATGAAGCCATTTCTTATCGCATAGTTGTTTGTCTCCTTTTTAAATCATAATGATAACAGAAATCACTTAAATGGCCCTGATCAAAAGTTAACATACCCTTGAATGTTTGGCCTTGTTACAGACACACAAGGTGATACACACGGGTTAAAATGGCAATTAAATGTTAGTTTCCCACACCCATGGCTTTTTAAATTGCAATTAGTGTCTGTGCATAAATAGTCAATGAGTTTGTTAGCTCTCACATGGATGCATTGAGCAGGCTAGATACTGAGCTATGTGGAGCAGAAAAGAACCGTCAAAAGACCTGCGTAATAAGGTAATGAAACTTTATAAAGATGGAAAACAATATAAAAATATATCCAAAACCTTGAAAATGCCAGTCATTACTACTGTTCAATCACTCATTAAGAAGTGGGAAATGTAGGGATCTCTTGATACCAAGCCGAAGTCAGGTAGCACAAGAAAGATTTCAGCCACAACTGCCAGAAGAATTGTTCAGGCTACAAAGAAAAACCCACAGGTAACCTCAGGAGAAATATAGGCTGCTCTGGAAAAAGACAGTATGATTGTTTCAAGGAGCACAATATGACAATACTTGAATAAAAATGAGCTGCAGGGGTCAACAAGGTCTATAGTGAAAAGAATACGATCCCCATTGTGAAGCATCGTGGTGGCTCACTGATGTTTTGGGGGGTGTAAGCTCTAAAGGCACGGGGAATCTTGTGAAAATTGATGGCAAGATGAATGCAACATGTTATCAGAAACTAGCAGACAATTTGCATTCTTCTGCACGATGGCTGCGCATGGGACGCTCTTGGACTTTCCAGCATAACAATGACCTTAAGCACAAAGCCAAGTTGACCCTCCTGTGGGTACAGCAGAAAAAGGTGAGAGGGAGAGGGGTAATGGTATGAAGGAGAAGTGGTAATGGTGTGAGGGTGGGGGTGGTGGTAATGGTGTGAGGGATGGGGGTGATGGTGTAGGGGGGTTATGGTGTGAGGGAGTAATGGTGTGAGGGGGTAATGGTGTGAGGGTGGTAATGGTGTGTGGGAGGGGGTGATGGTTTGAGGGAGGGTGGTGATGGTGTGAGGGAGGGGGTGATGGTGTGATGAAGGGGTGGTAATGGTGTGAGCGTGTGTGGTGATGGTGTGAGGAAGGGGGGGTGTTAGTGTGAGGGAGGGGGTTTGATGGAAAGAGGGAGGGGAGTGATGGTGAGAGGGAGGGAGTGATGGTATGAGGGAGGGGGTGATGGTGTGAGGAAGGGGTGGTAATGGTGTGAGCGAGGGTGGTGATGGTGTGAGGAAGGGGGGGTGTTAGTGTGAGGGAGGAGGTTTGATGGAAAGAGGGAGGGGAGTGATGGTGAGAGGGAGGGAGTGATGATGTAAGGGAGGGGTGGTAATGGTGTGAGGGAGGGTTGGTAATGGTGTGAAGGAGGGAGTGATGATGTAAGGGAGGGGTGGTAATGGTGTGAGGGAGGGTTGGTAATGGTGTGAAGGAGGGGGTGATGGTGTAAGGGAGGGGTTGTTAGTGTGAGGGAGGGGGTTATGGTATGGGAGGGGGTTGATGGTGAGAGGGAGGGGGGTGATCGTGAGAGGGAGAAGGGTGATGGTGTGAGGAAGGCGTGGTAATGGTGTATGGGGTGGATAGCTGTCTGGTTATAGAATCCAGTCCAATATGTCTCAACATCTATTACAGTAAACTGTCCCTTCTTCTTAATTTCATTATATGATCAAAGTCAACCTGTTGAAAAACGGAGGACCTATTTGAGTCAAGGTGCTAAAATGCTGTGGGCTTGAACAGGGGTTTTGACCTTTTCACTTTTTCTTATAGATGAGTTAATCTTTAAAGGGACACTGTAGGCATCAAAACAACTTTAGCTTCAAAGTCAAAGCAGTGTATCTGGGAGCGAGCCAGTGTCACAATGCCACGTGGCCAGCCATCACTCCTGCAGTCAACACTGGATGACTCGAAAAAAGAGGCTCAGGAGACCACAGCATAAGTGCTACATGGCGGTGAGAAGAGCTCAGGGTCCACTTCTGGCACACACACAGCACACCTAATATGGTGCCCCATGGACATGTCCTCACACAGATCTCGAGAGAATGCCAAACAATCCTGTGTAATCTGCGCTGTCAGTGGATTCCCGCTTGGCAAGGCATGCAGGACGCATCATGGAGGTCCGAACGGCGGGTTCCCATCAACACCTTGAGCTGCGGGAGGCCTCCCCATGCCTCAACGAACTCTCAGCTCCCAATGTCCATAGCCTCCCATCTGCGGGCATTGGTTGAGAGGCCAGACTTTCTGAACTGTGCTACTTATCGCAGGATGTTTTTTTTTTCTCCTTTTACTTGTTTCCCAACCCAGTGGTAATAATAGCTTGAAGTTTTCTCCTACAATTTTCTGCTGACATGTATTCTATTCTTTCCTAAACCTGCCTCTCAAATACTATAAAATGAGCTGTATGCTGACATTTTCTAACCACTATCCGCTTATGTAATGTTTATACCTATACTCTTGTGGAATCTAGCTAATTGTTATGCTATGCACTATTAAAAATAAAGAATAAAAAATGTAAAATTAAAAAATGAACCTGTAATATAAAAATTTACTTACCTTAAATTGCTTCCATATACATTGAATACACCATATATTATAAAGATACATGATGTATTCAATGTAAAATATAAACATTTACTCACTTGTCCTCCTTTCCAGTGCTGCTTCATGGATGTTACTCTTCAACACTCACCTCCCTGCCGTCCTGTGCTCCGTCTCTGGTCTTTTTTGATTTGCACTGCTTGGGGATTCCTTATAACGAGGTATCCGCAAGCAGAGCAAATCTCATTATTGAAGTCAGCATGCTGGCTTCTTTACCAGCTTGCCGGCCTCAGAAAGGAGTGACGTCACGTCACTCTGTTCTTATACTCCCTAGCGAGTGTTAGAAGCGTAAAACTGCTAGCACAATGTATAGATAAAATCTTATTCTCAATCAAATAAATTGTTTGGGAAACGAGAGGTGCCCTTTTATGAAGCAGTTTTGGTGTATAGATCATGCCCCTGCAGTCTCACTTCTGAATTCTTTGCCATGTAGAAGTTAAATAATTTTGTTTCTGTCCATGCTGCCTTAGCCACAACTCCCCTGACTGTGAATGACACAACCTTCATGAAAAAAATAATAATTTCATTTTCAATCACATAATAACAGGTAAGTTGAATTGCCTTGCCCTGCCTTCTTCCAGCACAGTAACCACAGCACCTCCTCTCTGCAGCCTTCCCTCCTCCATGCTGCACGATCTCAGTATGCTTCCCGACCAGGATCTGCTTTTCGCCCCTACACTCGGGCTTGACAATTCGGCTCCAGGGAACGCACATTTCACACAGACATTTCCTCTTACTTTTTTTAAGAGGAAAAAGGTGCATCTTATGGAGCGAAAAATACGGTAATTAAAAAAAATGCAGTGTCAAAACTAAACACTTTAATTACGTTTATCACATTTATTTCGCATTATATATATTCACAATGCTCTTCCAACTTAAAGGGACACCATATTCACCCAGACCACTGCAGCTCAATGAAGTCCCCCAGGTTTTAACCCTTCAGATGTAAACATAGCAGAGAAACTCTTGACAGCCGCTAGAGGCGCTTCTGCAACACTGGATGCGAAAATCGCATTGAGCGTGCAGAACATAGGAAAGCATTGAGAAATACTTTCCTATGGACTGTTTGAACGCGAGCGTGGCTCTTGCCGCGCATTGCATTCCGCTCCACTCGGAAGCTGACGTTGACGGGGGAGGAGAGGTCACCAGCTGAAGGGGTTTGAACTCCTTCAGCGCCAAGGGAGGGGGGCCCTGAGGGTGGGGGGGACCTAAGGGTTATATAGTGTCAGGAAAACGAGTTTGTTTTCCAGACACTATAGTGATCGTTTAATGTTTCCTGAGACAGGTGATTTTAAGTAGCCTTGTAACATTAAAAAAAGGAATTTTTATGTGTGCGCCCTTCGTTAATCTTATTATGTATGAATTTTATTTTGGTCACTACAGCAGCACCACTCCTGCATGTTTCGGGTGTGCTCCAATTCTTTTTTGTCTTTACTAAGAAATAGGACTTCAGTGATGTGAATTAAGTGACGGTGCTTGTAACTGTGTGTGCAGCTTTTCAATATGAAACATATTATATATCGCTGTCAGAGCATAACTCTCAAGTGTCCATAGGAGAGTCCCTAATTTGGATACAAATGCTATTATGCTCTTTTCTATCCAAATGTCCATCTTTTTTAGGAGCTCCACATTGTCGGTGTGTCTGAGTGTATAAAAGAGCTCAATGACAAATAATACTCACAGTAATGTGTCTTTAAACTACAAAAATGTACAGTATTTAGAAATAAGTCTAATTAAATAAGATACATCGTTCTTGTCCTAAATGTAATTTTAGTTGCATTAATTGTTATTAGTACATCACCTAAAATTTCTCG